TGCTGACGTGAGACAGCAGAAAATTTTCCAGGCGCTCCACCACTGCGCCATCCCCCCTGTCGGTTCTCCTAGATAGCGTGCTTTTCTAGCGGTTTCCCAAAATGGGTCGGTTCTCCTATTATTCTAGTTTAACGTCCTTTTTCAGCCCGAAGGGCTATATAAGACGTGGTCGGTTCTCCTAGATAGCGTGCTTTCCTAGCGGTTTCTAGAAAACTCGAAGTTGGTGGTGTACATTAACTATATTACTAAGCTTGAGTTTCTGCTAGCGTTTAAGGAAGCCTTTAATTAATCCTTTATAGCAGCTAATATCTGCTTAGCCTTTTAAGGCGCAGGCCTTGTTCCTTTCTAGCTAGACACTATTCTATTAAAGCTTAACGTACAGCTACGTACGCCTACTCTAGTAGCTACTCTTATAGAGGCTGTCTAGCAGGCTTATACTTTAAGTAACGTACGCAAGCTTAAAGCCTAATTAACGCTAATACGTAATTAGGTCTAGCGGCATAAGAGCTTATTACTAGCGTTAATTATTATAGTAATTAGCTAGCTTAAGAAGAGGGTAGAGAGAATAATGCTCTTAGCTAAGCTAATGCGCGATTAGATCGCTAGCCTTAAAAGGGCTAATAAGGTAGTAATAAAGCGTAAGTAGCGTAAAAGGAAGTAGATATAGAAGTATAGAGTGCTAACAAAGGGAGCTAGAGAGGATCTACTTACTTAGCGTAAGGCTAATTAGCAGATTGCTTATAAAGAGCGTTAAGGAGGAGAGCGATTAGGTGTTAGCCGCTAGGCTTTGGCGCGCTGTAGTAGGTGTAGAGAAACTAGCCATAACTTGCGTACGTGCAAGAAAGATACTTTAGGTACTGCTTAATCTATTATATTAATATATAGTAAAACAACTATATTATAGTAGAACTATAGGCTTATAGAGGTGCGCAGGTTTAGTGGGGTGCGGCGCTCGCTTGTACGCGGCGCTCGCTTGTAAAACACGTTATTCCCCATGGAAGGGGGATGTGTTTTTAAGATCAGTAAGAAAATGTAAGCTGTACTTGGTTGGAATCTCAAATATCTTGAATCGGGCATTCCAATACTTACTTTTCTGTTTTGCTATTGTTTTTATTTTTTGTGGATTGTTCTTTTTTTTGGTAAGTAACTGGACTGGTATCATGGCGTCGTCGGCGGCGGCGTCAATACGGCCAGAAACACCACCGATTGCTACACTCCGCATCTGCATGCTCAACGCCGACACGCCCGTTCCCGCCGTCGTCGCCCACCGCGCCGCTACCTACGGCCGCATTTTCGAAGCGCTGCTATCACGCGCCGCCCACCGCCTCACTTCCACCTCAAAACACCACCCCAACATCACCATCACATCCACCGACTTCGACGTCGTGCAAAACCACTACCCAGCCTCCCTTTGCTGCTTCGACGCGATTGTGATTTCCGGGTCCGCTAGCTCCGCATACGACAACGAGCCGTGGATCGCGCGGCTCGCGGCGTGGATCCGTGAGGCGTACCAGACGCACCCGCGCATACCCATCTTCGGGAGCTGCTTTGGCCACCAGATCGTGTGCCATGCGCTGCTGGCGGAGTACGGCGTGCGCGTAGAGCAGGATGCGAAAGGCTGGGAACTCGGGGTGCAGGCAGTGCGACTTGACGAGGGATTTTGCAGGAGGTTTGGCGGCGGGCGGGCGGGAGACGAGGACGCGGTACTGCGACTTCAGTTTGTGCATCACGACCACGTAGTGTTGGCCGAGGGGGGCTTACCAGCGGGCTGGATGCTCGTGGGCAGCACGCCGCATTGCAGTGTGCAAGGCGTGTACGAGCCTGGCCGCGTTCTCACGTTGCAGGGCCACTTTGAGTTTGACGCGTTTGTCAACGGCGAGACGGTCAAGTTCTTTTTTCCGCACTGGGAGCCCGAGGTGTTGGGGGCGGCGCTGCGCGCGATTGATGCCGAGGACGATGCGGAGGCGGCGGCGGAGCTGGTGCTGAGGTTTTTTCTGGACGAGCAGGGGGGGAAGACGGGTGCGGACACGTTCGTTGTTGAGGGGGGGTTGCTTACGCCTCCTGTCGAGGAATAGAGATTTTGTGGTGGTAGTTTGTCATATCCTGAGTAGAACTGTGACGATTGTATTCATCCTGGGCTTCTTGGGCAAGATGTTGATAGACGTGCTGTCTTCAAAATCTCCTCTGTATGCTATGTTTGTCAAAGACATATCACATTGCCTTGGTTATTTACTGCCTAGTTGGCTGAAACTAAATGTGTACTTGTTCATTCCATCATTATACGCCTTAAGACGCCCGCTGCCATTGATAACGTCAAAATATGCATTAGCCCAGTCAAGAAGCGTGCGTACACGGAAAACTAATTAGAAACCATTTGTTGCTCTTGTTCATGAAGCGACAATACAGCTTCAGTCATATCAACTTAAGTAGATTGGCAGTCTTCTCGGATTCCCCGATTACGCTTTCTGATGGAGAAAACATTTCAGCAGCAATTACCTTGGTTCCACAATCATACAATAGTTACTATCCATATGCGTAACATAGATATCTCGTGAGCTGTCACCGCAAGGATAGAAAATTACCCAGTTCATAGCGTAAAAGAAACATCAACATACGTGGAACCATCAAATACCAACATTGAGCGAGACTCATACGATGGTATACAACATACACAGCAACTCCACACCCCGCACCCCCTCTTAAACCGACTCAAAACCTCACAACTGCTCCTTCTTCTCCGACAACCTCCTCTTCTCCGCAAACTCCCTAATCTCGTCGAAATTCCTACACATGTGCGTGGCGCCCGTGCCATCTGTGCCAGGTACATGTTCCAGACCGGGCGTCAGGGTCTGGCCCTCGAGCGTGGTATCGCCAAAGCACATGATGGCATGGCGAATGTAATTGAAGCAATGGTCGTTGTGCCACAGGAAATTGTCGTCGAGCGAGAAGTCGCGGTTACGGATCTGCACGACAAGCTTGTCCATGAAGTCGGAGAGGTGCATCAGGCAGTGCAGCTGGTGGAAGATGGCGAGCGAGAAGACTTGTTTGCCCGGTATGTTGGGGAAGTGCATGGGCGGCGGGAGGTCGTACGATGTGTAGTCTGCGACTTCGAGGAAGCCGCCACCGACTGGACGCGAGCAGTGTTAGACTCGGCGGGTTTGCTTTGTTCAGCGAGAAACTTACAGGGAATGAGGTTATCCCATTCACGCATGGTCGCGTTGATGGATTCTGTGGTGCGGTGGTCCGATGCAAATCTCTTGTCGTTGTGGAAGACTTTCTTCTCCAGCGAGACTGCATGGATGTTAGTGACATGTCCCTGGTTCATTCACCCAGCCTAACTCCGATACACGACATTAGACTTACAGGTTGGAATAATGCCGTTTATATCTGATCCCACCTGGGGTTTACTCGGCTGATGACGAAGAATTGAAAACTCGCAGAATAATATGGTGATAAGCAAGAAAAACGTGACGGGCCACCTAAGAATGTGCACCTTCTCTTTTATCCTCCTCCATCGGCTTGGTCTGCGAACGTTTTCTTGTTGCTCGATCGAGTCCTCTCTGGAGCTTTCACTGCTCACTTTGGAATACAGCAACGGCGACATGGCAAGATAAGGATATTTGTGTCTCTTGAAACCAAGAATTGAAGATGGTTGGAAACAAACGAATCCGCATCGCCTCTTATACACGGCTGCTCTCAAGCGGGCAGGTTGTGTAGATGTGGTGGCGGTCAAAGGCGCTAAGCCGCTTTCTTTTGCCCAGGGTGCTATTCAAGTCCCAATCGGGTAATCCCACCAAGACTTGGTGGAAAGCTGGTTCGAGCCTCGTAAGGTGGAAATGTCCTTGTGTCTAGCTCGGAGACTTTTTCATTGTAGGCCTTGTATTCAATATGCAAGGGGGGGAGGTTGGCGAATACGTTCACGCCACTGCAGCCCGGCCTCACTCTGACGTCTTCTCTGGGAAGCTTTCTAGATAGCTCTCGAGAACATCGACAATATCAGACTGAGCAGACTCGAGACGTTTCTTTGTCACATCTCGTGTATTCTCCTGTTTCTTTTTTGCGCCCACAGCGCGTCGATGCGCACGGCTCTTGACATGCAAAGACCAATCGTTCTCAGTAACGGCAACAGTTCCGCATGTCTCGCACACTTTCTTCTGCCACAGATCCGGTCGTTGCCCCAGATCATACTCTCGTTTCGGTGTGAGCATCTCTGATGCGGCTTGCGAAAGCGACGAAGGCTCCGGAAGGGAGTCGCCCGCGAGGAACCGCTCAGTAATGGATGTCGCGGGCTGCACAATATCGGTATCCCATTTGAAGATGTCCGACCCATCGACTAAGAAAGTATTGCCCTTTTGACCTGCACTCAGCAACGCGTTAAGTAGCTTGATGCGAATCCACTTAATCTGACGGTTGGCGTACTGGCGCGTCGCAGCTTGCGTTTTCTCGATGGCCGCCCTCTTGAGTTTTTCCAGCTCCTCAGCTGGCCTTGCGCCCTCTCCCAGCGCATGCTGGTAGTCCAAGAACTCTTTGTACCCTATAGAGACCCAGATACCGCGAGTTTGATCTATACTCGTACCGGTTTTAGACTCATACTGCTGGCGGAAATCAGCCAACTCTTCTACCTCCGACAACAGACCTTTCGCCAGCATCCTGTCCACACGTCCGTCAAGACGACGATGCAAAATATCTTTATCCGCATGCACCCAGAATACCAGCGTCTCAAAGCGAAGGCTGGAGCTACCAGCAACTTTTGAACCATCTCCAGACGAAGGAGACGTCTGGCGTTTAAGCCGCTGCTCATTATACAACTGCGACGCCGGCCTTCCTGTCCGAAGGTAGATCTCCAGCGAGCGCTGTATCTTCCTGCGCTCATTCGGATGCCATCGGTCTGCCATAACGGGATCGACCTCCTTGAGTCTCTGCAGGAGTGCCTCAGTCGGCTCCTCCAACACGGGCAGTTTCTCACTGTTTTCATCCAGATGCAATGCAGGCTCTTCGGCGAGGGCATCCTGGAACAGCAGCGACTGCGTGTAGTAATGCGTCCCCCCGACGAGAATCGGCAACTTGCCTCGACTCCTGATCTCTTCAATCTGACCGCGTCAGTTGCTTCCGGGTTAGATGGCGTTACTCCATACTATGCCCAGCACTTCGCCGACAAACTTGCCCACGGTCCACGTCTCTTCCTCCAGGCCGATGCAGCCTAGCAGGTGGTGCGGCACGCCCTTTGCCTCATCCCGCGTGATCTTATTGGTGATGATGGGCAGCCCGCGATACAACTGCATTGCATCGCCATTGATAATCTCTCCATTGAACTTTTGCGCAAGCGCAACTGCTAGCTGTGGTTCTAAAGGTGATCAGCATGCATGACTCGGCCTGTTTTTTTTTCGATCCTGTTACATCGGACTTGCCCGTGCCGGTCGCACCTACAACGGTGACCAGAGGCTTAAGCGGCGCTGGGGCCATGGTGCATGAAGTGAATGCGCGGATGAGACGCAGCATGCAGGCATCCAAGAAGATAGTTGATGGAAGAGGATGTGGCGTAGAGCCGAAAATGCTCGTTAGGGCGGATGGCGGGGGGTGCGCTTTGCCCTGTTGATGCTAGCGTGGTACATGGCATCGCTTTACTAAATGTGTGCTGTGCTGGGACGAAGCCAGGAGCATATCAACGCTGCTCTGCCCAGCTACCGAGTACTTAAGAGAGAGAGTCAGCAGTAATACATACCATATGTTGAACAGCAATGGATACATTGCAAGATCTACCAAAACCATCATGCTGCTAGTTCGACCCATGTTGAAGTATGAAATGGGGTATCGCCGTTGAGTTCCGCCCAAAACGCCTACTGAAGCTCTACCAAAGGGCATTGTTGAAGCCCCTCGTATATCATTTCTGTCCGTGTCCACAAGCTACTCCTCCACCCTCTTCTCAGCACCATAGCCACCCTTGCCCTCCAAGTTCTGATAGCTCATGCCTTCTCCCTTGCCATTCCTCGGTCCTCGCTCGTCAAGATCCTCCTGCAGCCACTTCAGCACCAGCTCGCCCAGCTCGCTGTTGCCCGTGTACTGCCTTCCGCCGGCTTCAACCTTGACATTCATTTCCTCTGTGCTACCCCACTTCTTGACTTTGCCCAGACTCATGTGTACCAGATGCGTCGGCCACGTCGCCAGGTTGTCCAGAATGTGCGTTGCATACACGATAGTGCAGGGGCGCTCCTGCGTCTCTTTCTTCAAAAAGTTGAGAAAGTTGCTGCGCGAGAGCAGATCAAGGTCGACGGTGATTTCGTCCAGCAGCAGGATGGTCCATGGCCTCAGCAGCCCCATGGCCAGCTGCACGCGCCGCCTCTCTCCGTCTGACACGGCGTGCATGCGCCAACTCAGGTCGATATCCAGGATCCGCACGAGCTCGTCGCGCCGTTCAGCATAGTGATCGCCACCAACGGAGGAGAGCAGCGTGGGCACGTCAATGTCTGTGCGGACAATGGGGTTGAGCACCCATTCAAGGCCGAGATATGTCACGCCCTCCAGGCCCATCTTGAAAGGGTCGATGCCAGAAATGTGGACGGTACCAGCAGGGGCCATGCGTTTGCCAGAGAGGAGTCGCAACAGCGTGGTTTTACCCGCGCCATTGGCTGTTCCATGTTAGCATTGTCGCTTTCAGAGAGAGAGAGAGAGAAAAAAAAATAATTAGTGTTGCATACCCCCGATGAGCAGCGTCCTACTGCCCGGAGGCAAATCGAGAAAAACCTCCTTCAGCCCACTCGAGCCATCGGGAAACGCATAGCTGAGATTCTTCACGTCAATCGACGGCGCGAGATTTCTTGCGTCGTTGGCGGCAGACATGGCGGATTCCAAGACGGCGATTCGCAGTGGCTATTTTGGCCGTTTGGGGTAGAGGAGGCTACATGGAGGACGCTGGCGGCGGAGTCATGCTGATGGACTAGCTCGACTCGACATGAGTGATGCCATGATTCCACCGGCCGCCCGCGCTAGTCCCAGCTAGGCAAGTAGATACCGTCTTACGCCCCCGTCATAGTCGGACGGCCTTTGCCCGATATTCGCAGACGCAAGACATGCACCTGGCTGTCACTCTCCATGTACTCTACAGCGCATTGAGCACGCCAACGCCAGGGCAGAATCCGCGCATCTGGTTCACACGGCTGAGGATCCGGAGTCCCGCTACACTGACACAGCCTACCACGTCACCACACGGCCTGACCAAGCCCATCCCGGCAGTCATCCAGGGTCAATAAACTTTCGGCTGTCACATACGACGGACGGCCGGTCGGTGGGCGGCTACCATGAAACTGCACCAGCAATGGCTCATTGACACGAAGAAGAATAAAAAGTATTCCAGCTCATCTATGTACTATGTACAAGGCATGTGAAGTGAAAAAAGCGCATTGGTTTCATTCCGACGCCCCAACATGCAGGTAGGCTCATGCATGAGCACCATGTACCAGATGACAAATCCTGCCTCATTCTCCAACCCGGGGCCCAGCCTGCGCCTGATCGGCTAATTGTCTAGAGAGAAACGCAGCCACCGGTCGAGTCCTCGAGGAAGAGTCCACCGTAGATCTGGCCCTCGTTGAGGTTGGCCTCCTGGAAACCGGCGTTGGCAACGTCAGAGGTGCCAGTAGGCTTCTTGAGCCCGCCAATGTGGTGCTGGCCGCCGCCAGAAAGGTCTGCGCCGATGGGTCCAGCAACCTTTGCGAGAGGCGCCTTGCCCTTGCTGTAGAAGATGGTAACTTGGCTATGCCATTTGTTAGCATCAAGGCTCGCCAATAGGAAGCTACAGTTCAGAATAACGACTTACTTGTTCGTGTAGTCAAGGGTAACAGCAAAGTTCTGCCAGCTGACCATGCAGACAGGAACAGACCAAAGCTGCTCGTTCTTGCGGTTGAGGATCTTGAAAGTCTTGGGGTTCGAGTTGTTCTTGCCGATGAGAGTTCCAGTCTGGAACTGGATCTGGTTGCTGCTGAAATCAGCGGCCTCGTGCCACACATTGAGGTACTCGTGGCTGAAGTTCAAGGGCCTGGCAGGGTCCTGCATGACACTCCAGTGCAGAGTCTTGATGCCCTTGGCACCCTCGCCATCGGCAGCATCCTTGAGAAACTGGAGCTCCGCGCGACGGAAGCCCTTCTGCTTCTGGAAGATGGATTCATCCGAGAGGGTGACTTCGATGGGCTTGAACTTGTCACCGTCGAAGCGGGAAGCGCCCTGCGGGAACTTGACGATTTGAGACCACGTCAGGTTGTTTCCCTTGACGAACTGGGCGTTGAAAATGGTGTTGGTCGTCTGAGAGTCCAAGTCGGTAGCGCTCAGGTTGAGAGGAACGCGGCCATCGAAGACAATAGGGCACTTTGGCACGGCCCCCTGGGCCCTGGCGGCATTATGACGGTACTGGGGGACTGCGAAAGCGCTCGAGGCCAGGAGCAGGGCAGAAAAGAGTGTCTGGGTGAACATCATGAATGGTTGCAACTAGATGTATGTAACGAAAAGAATGTGGGTGTGGTTGGTGCTTGCGAAACAGTTGCCGGCCGCGTCCCTCTTATACATGGTGTCGGGGTACCTGGAGAACTAGTAATTGCCAGCCAAGCCTGTTTCATACGCACAAGGACAGATACATAAATTGCCCGTAAGCACTGCTGGTTTCCAGGCGGCCTTTTTTCCCGCACCGAAATCAGCGTTCCTGTGTAGCGTCGTGGGGAGAGAAAGTCGACTGAACGCCTCTGTCGCCCATGAAACCACCGCGAGCACGCGCTCGATCCGTTCCACATTAGGTCCGGAGTTGGCTGAATAAGGCCGTGTTAATATATATGGTAGGACAATAGTTGCTTATGGGGTGGGCTGCCACTGGATGAAGGGGTAAAAGCCACGGCTTGCAGTGCACCAACGGGCGGTCCGACGCCCCGACCTACTTGCGCCCGGTCAGCGCGCCTACTGTAAGTATGAATCCGTGTTCTAGAAGCCGCTAAAGCGACACAATTGCCGTCTGGATATTGTAAAGTTTGTCCCAGATGATCGCTGTCCTCGATTACCATTTCGATGAGGTCATGGCCATATTTTAGAGTATCCTTTTATCTTATATTCCCGTGTGCTCGACTTGGCAGACTGTTGGGCTGGGTGGAAATGTCTTGTTGCGGGCGTGATCCAACGTAGCGCAGTTGTGCAAAGAGAAAACCACCGAGTAAGGCCGTCGAACACGCCAGTGCTGCCAAGAAGTGCAAGGGCCGCAAACACAACCAGGCACATATATGTACAGGGGGCAATGGTTAAACAACCCACCACCAATAGCTATCTCACCCACCTCAAAGCCAGGGCCCCCTATATAGCGCGCTTAGCTGTATTATTAGTAGTATTATATATTACTTACGCTTATATAGCTATATAGTAGTAATCTTAAGTACTTAAAAATAGCTAGTATATAAGTAATAAGTAAGTAGTGTTATATAGTTAAAATAGAAGTTGCAAAAGTAAAAAAGTAATACTTAAAAACTAGCTATATTACCTAAGTTTTAGTATTTTATATAGCTTAAAAACTTGCCTAAAATAAGCTTTTAGCTACTGACTCAAAAAGCTATAGCTAGCGTAGTATAATAATTACGTTAGCTAACTATAATAAAGCTTTTGATTATTATTACGCCTTTTACTACTTAAGTTTAGTAGTAAATTTAAGTAAAAAGGTAAGTAGTATAGAAAATAGAAATATTATATAATAGCTAAGTAGTTAAGGTAGCTAAAGTAAGCACTTAAAGGCCTATTTCAAAGCTCTATTATAAAGCCTCTATAAGTAAAGCTATATACAAGCAGTGGTTAGAAAATTGAGTAGGTAGCTAAATAGGTAAGGTAAGTAGCTAGGTAGTATAGTAGTAGTAGTAGTAGAAGCTAGTAACCTAGCTAGTAGCCTAGCTAGTAGCCTAGTAGAGCTATATAAGGCTACTAGAATAGCTATAAGATAGCTATCTTAGCTAAAACTTAGTGTTATAGCTCAGCCTAGTAGTAGTAATTAGGTGCTAAAGGCTATAGTAGAGGTAGTATAGTAATCT